ATGGTGGAGATGGTGGAGATGGGACAGGAATGGTGGAGGTGGTGGGGATGGTGGGGATGGTGGAGATGGTGGAGATGGTGGGGATGGTGGAGGTGGTGGAGATGATGGAGATGGTGGAGATGGTGGGGATGGGGTGGAGATGATGGGAACAGGGTGGGAATGGCGGGAATGGGGGTCCAGGAATTGCGGGGGGACCACCAGGACAACGGTTTGGCCACCAACGACCTCACGAGGGGTCACGAAATCCAAGGAGCTTTGTCCACCCTTGGTGGACTCCCAAATCCTCATCCCACCCCAACTCCTGCCTCTCTCCGCTGCCAAAACCCCGGTGAACCCCAAAACCCGACCGACCCCCGGCCCAAAATTCCCACCCGAATCCCAATTCCTCCGGAATCCGCCCCAATTCCCGCCGTTCCCCGGTGGCCCCGAGGTGTCCCCTGACCTGGCCCCAGCCCGGCCGCGGTCATCTGGGTGGCCATGAGTCGGGCCAGGTGCTTGATCTGAGCCTCGGTGCCGGCCGACTCCACGGGCGTGTAGGTGGCCTGGAAGGAGGCGGGCATGGCCTCGGGCAGGTACACCATGCTGATCAGCACCTGCGGGGAGATGCGGCCCCAAAAACGCCTTAGGGACATCAAAACTGACGTGGAGAACCCAAAAATACCTTGGAGAACCCAAAAACAGCCTTGGAGAACCCAAAATTGCCTTAAGGAACCCAAAAACTGCCTTGGAGAACCCAAAAATATCTTGGAGAACCCAAAAACTGCCTTGGGGACACCAAAACCGCTTTGGAGAACCCAAAAACTGCCTTGGGGGACACCAAAACCAACTTGGAGAACCCAAAACCACCCTGAAGACCCCAAAACCACCTTGGAGAACCCAAAACCACCTTGGAGAACCCAAAACCACCTTGGAGACCCCCAGAATGTCCCCAACACCCCCTCAAAGCCCCCCCGAAGTGTCCCCAAGGCCGATGTCCCCTCCCCTGACCAGGTTGGCCACGTTCTCCGGGGTCAGCAGCGGCTGCAGGAACTCGGCCGTGATGTCGGTGTCCGAGGGGACGGCGGCCGCTCCGGCCGCTTTGGCCACGGCCACCGCCGGCGCCTCCAGGTCCTTGTCCTCGTCGTCCTCGCCCAGGGGTGGCTCTGTGGGGACACGGGGAAGGTCCCTGAGTGTCCCCAGGGTCACCACCAGGTGTTGGGGACACCGAGGTGACCTCAGGAGGGGTTTGAGGGTCAGCGCCTGTCACCGGCGTCGCCGTGAGGACACCAGGAGCACCCGATGGCCACCAGCACCACGGGGGAGGTGACAATGATGTCACCGTGGGGAAGGTGACAATGATGTCACCATGGGGAAGGTGACAATGATGTCACCGTGGGGAAGGTGATGGTGATGCCACCACGGGGGAGGTGACAATGGTGTCACCACATGGAAGGTGATGGTGATGCCACCACAGGGGAGGTGACAATGGTGTCACCACATGGAAGGTGATGGTGATGCCACCACAGAGGAGGTGACAACAATGTCACCACGTGGAAGGCATCAATGATGCCACCACATGGCACGTGACAATGATGCCACCACACAGAAGGTGACGGTGATGCCACCAAATGGAAGGTGATGGTGACACCACCACACAGAAGGTGACGGTGACACCACCACACAGAAGATGACGGTGACACCACCACACAGAAATTGATGGTGACACCACCACACGGAAGGTGACGCTGATGCCACCACATGGAACGTGACAGTGACACCACCACACAGAAGGTGAAGGTGACACCACCACACAGAAGGTGACGGTGACACCACCAAACGGAAGGTGACAGTGACACCACCACACAGAAGGTGACAATGACACCACCACGTGGAACGTGACAATACCACCACACAGAAGGTGACGCTGATGCCACCACATGGAACGTGACAGTGACACCACCGAACGGAAGGTGACGGTGACACCACCACACAGAAGATCATGGTGACACCACCACACAGAAGTTCATGGTGACACCACCACACAGAAGGTGACAGTGACACCGCCACACAGAAGATCATGGTGACACCACCAAACGGAAGCTGAGAGTGACACCACCACATGGAAGGTGACGCTGATGCCACCACATGGAATATGACAGTGACACCACCACACAGAAGGTGACAATGATACCACCACGTGGAACGTGACAATACCACCAAACAGAAGATCATGGTGACACCACCACACAGAAGTTCATGGTGACACCACCACACAGAAGATGACGGTGACACCACCACACACAAGATGACAGTGACACCACCACACAGAAGTTCATGGTGACACCACCACACAGAAGGTGACAATGATACCACCACGTGGAACGTGACAATACCACCACACAGAAGCTGACGGTGACACCACCACACAGAAGCTGACGGTGACACCACCACACAGAAGATCATGGTGACACCACCGCACAGAAGGTGACAGTGACACCGCCACACAGAAGGTGACGCCGACGCCACCGGATCTTCTCACCGATCTTCATCTTCTTGAGGGCGGCGTCGGGCTCGTCGCGGGGCCGCTTGCGGGCGTCGCGGGGGCTGGGCATGCTGCGGGCGATCTCGGCCTGGGGCGTGCCCAGGTCCACCAGCAGCGTGGTGATCTGCGGCTGGAAGTCCCCCGAGGACGGGTGGCGCAGGACGCTCAGCAGGTGCAGCTTCAGGTTCTTCCGCACGCTGCTCACCTGGGACTTGGCCAGGGTGGG